GAGAGCTGTCTTTCCAACACCTTCATCACCAACAACAGCGCATTTGATTACCTCCATTAAATTGGTAGTAAGAATTATTTTAAATAGATCGACACAAAACACTTTTAATAATAAAATAGTTAATTAATAGTAAATTATAAAATGGATATAATTGATTTATTTTAAAAAACGGGAAGAAGGTGATTATGTATAAATAGATACATATGTGTATCGAACTTATATAATCAGAAATGGTTAGAATAAACTATTTTTGATTGATAACATAAATAAACTTAAAATAATAACACAATGACAAAATAAACGGAAACTTCACATATAAAACACAACAATAAAACAAAAATATTACTTGGATATGACAAACAAACCATTTTGCGGTATGTTTAAGTAGATTGCCTTTGGTGCGTCTTCTTTGTTGTAAAAACAAAAAACATATTGTCAGTGTTGTTTTTATCATAATATTCAAATTTTGACGCCGTTGGGTGTCACGATTCTTACAAATGTCTGAATGCTTTTGTAACAAAAGCGCTGTTGTCGTTATCTTACACGTTACAATAAGTAAATTATTTTATAAAATATCAACTTAAAAAAATCAAATAAAAAAGATAAATGCAAGTAAGATTAAACATTACTTATTGAATGAACTCATTAGTTTTGTTGATCAATTAATTTATACATTGAAGTGAAAACGTGAGTTAGTACAAATAACAAATAACTAAAAAGTGTGTGAGGAAGTTGATGTTGAAAAAGTAGACACGATCTTCATTTCTATTTCAAGAACAAATGTTGCGTGTTTGTAATTGACTATGTATTAAGGTAACACAACCATACAAACAAATATTGTTTTTGTATTCAAAACAACAATTTTATTAACTTAATTATTAAAAAAAATAAACAAAAATATCATAAAAATTTAAGTTTTTGCAATACAAAATGGGTTTTAAAATATAGCAATATAAACTGTTTCCCAAAAGTCGATAGTACCCCAAAATATTTTGGTCTATTTTTATCATAATGTTTTGGGAAAACTACGGAATCTATTTATATTTCAATATCAACTTTTTTCAAAAATTAAAACCATTAATTGTTGAAAATCTTAATTAAAAACACGTAAAAATAAGATACAATTTATGTAATAACACTTTTTTTCTCGAGCAACTTCTTTTTAAAGAAGATGGCCAATGAATTTACCTTTTTCTTGAATACAAAGAGAAAATCTTTTTTCCATCGATTGCATTAAATTGTTAATTGTATCCATTGGTATCGATTCCCATTCTATCTTCAGCACTCTAAACAAACTCTTTTTGTTTTTAAAATATTTTTTCTTTTTTCTAATTCTATTTTCAAGTATCGACCAAACGTTTTCAATTGGTGATAAATCTGGACTTGAAGGAGGCCACCCAGTCAATCTCACTTTATTGTTCTCCAAAAAATTCAATGTCGTTTTTCCTGTGTGTGGCTTGGCACCATCTTCTTGGAAATAGACTATTTGTTTGTTGCGTTGTCGTCTAATATCATCAAACACTTTATTACTTTCAAGCATGTGTTGATAGCCAATTGCATTAAGTCTGTTGTCACATAGTAACAACTGTGATTTGTAATTATTTCCGATTGCTCCCCAAACCATCAATGAATCGTTGTGTTTTGGAAGTGTTAAAAACATTGATTTAAAAATCTTATTGTTCTTTTTAATAAGTAAAGTTTGATTTCCAATAATAAATGAATTTATTCTGTTATATCTCATTTTCCTGCTTTTGTGATACCAACAGTTTCCATTATCTGAAAACAATCCAAATTTCGACTCATCACTTATAATAGCCTCTTTCCATTTTTTATAATTTTTCTTTAGTACCGCCTTTTTGCAAAAATTTAATCTTTTATTAATGTTAACTTTTGTTAAAAATGGAGATTTCTTTAGTTTGCCATATTTAAACCCGTTTATTTTTCTGTATCTGTGAATTGTTGATTTTGATACATTTATACATTTATACATTTAGCCAAATCACAACACGTTGATTCTGGATTAATAGAAGTTTTTTGATCAAAGTTATTATTTTTTGTTGTGTCATAATTGAAGGTCTGCCTATAGTTTTTGAATTAACTCTTCATTGTTTTCAATTTTCTTTTTGTTATAAGAAACTCTGTTTGGTGATACATGAAGTGTTTTGGTAATAAAAGAAAATGATTTCCCTTCTCTTAATAAATTAACAATGAGCTTATCTGTTTTATTGATAACAGACATGTAATCATTTTTAAAGATTATAAGTTTAAATATTGCAATTAATTAATATTAATTTGTTTTCAATGTGATTTTTGTTGAAATTAAAAAAATAAGTTTTACAAAAGTCAATATTGTTTATTTATGTAAATGTTTTTTATCCCATTAAAATAGTTCGTTTTTGACAAATTTTTAATTAAATTGTTTCAAATCTAAAATAACATGAATTGGGTTTTAATGAAATGCATTTATGATATTTTTTTATTTGAAACAACTCAAGATTATTTCTTTTGTAAATTTGAGCAACTTTTGTTTGAAAAAAGGTGTATTTTTATTTTTTATGTGTAAATTTAAGCCACTTTTTCCTCAAATTTTTGTTAGATCCAAAAAAGAGGATAAAAGTATAGTAAGATAAAACCCGACATATTACCAAAAAATAAAATAAATACACTATCGATTTTTGAATTCTAGTTTATATTATATTTTACTTTAATTTCAAACTAGATATTATTAAATTTTTACCAACTCTATATGTATAACTCTTTATGTTATAGATAAATCTTTAATAGTTTTGTTATAAAATACAAAATGAGTATATCAATTATAAAATTGAACAACCAATAGTCTTGCAATTTTGAAATAAGTGTTGTTTCCTTCAAATTCATTGCTTGTTCCAACCAAATCTTGACTTTTTAAATTTCCTTCGAAAAAATTTGATATATTATAATATATGTAACCCGAATTGTCATCAAAGAGTTGTGTTTTCCAAAATCCAAATGCAGAAGTCACTGCAAAAATATAATTATCGTTTTCGTTTTCTGTGAAATCGTAAATTTGAAGCTTTTTCTTGTTTACAGTACTTGAAAAACTAATTTCCTGGAATTTTCTCAATGGCTTTGTCGGCGAATTTAAAGTGAAAATAAAAATTTTGTCTTTATCATTAAAAACATTGTTATTGTTATTCGCAGGGTTATCGATTATTTCAGAAAAGTACGCACCAAACGAATATCCCGTCTCAGTGATAATAATAATCCCAATGTTTTGCCTCCCAAGTACACACATATTAAAATAGTTTCGAGTTGTTGGCTGGTAATCACTGTCAAATATAATTTCATTGTTGTTTGAACTTGAAAAATTGTTGAGTTCTTTCTCGAAATTCATTGTGTATTTTGAGTTGTTTGTTTTATTTGGTCAAATAGAAAATCTGTAAATTAAAATAGTAAAAATTATTAAAATTGTTTGTTGACAAACTGGGAAGAAGTTAGTTATGTGATTATTTTATTTAATCATAATCATTTAATCAGATAATAAGTTATAAAATTATAAATATTTGTTATTCAAAAATAACATTTTAATTTATAATTTAATAATATAGTTTGTTTTACTATATACAAAACGTTATATATAAGTGGTTTATTTCCGAAATTTTAAAAAAAGATTATATTATACTTTAACATGAAGTGTTTTTTGAGTGTTAAAATAATTTTTTTATTACAGTTAACGGAAAAAGTAGGATACTGAGAAAAAGGGGAATGATAATCTAAATATTAATTAATATAATATTATTAATATTAATTAATTAATATTAATTTATTTTGGTTTTTTCATTTTATTAATTTTTTGATTAATAATTTATATTAAAATTAATAGTAATATTATTATTTTTTAATTAAAATTAACCAATAGTTACGAGCATCCTCCTTTCTTTAGCATCCCCATATTTCCTCCTACTGTAATTTTTTTGAATTTTTATCATCAAATTGGTTGTGGCTATCTGTTGTTTAATTTATAATAATTATTATTTTAATCGATAATAAAATATATCTATTATCTATTAACTATAATTATTTTAAATGGTTTATGTGCCAAATTCAATCAATAATATTAAAACTTTTTTTTATTAAAAAAGTTGTTCAATTGAGGTTTGCATTTTTAATTGTTTTTATTTATCGAATGATTTTTAAATGTAATTATCTTTTGATTAAATTATTTGTTTAATAAATATTTATTTGCTTAAACTACTGCAACCACAGAAACATTGATTACCAATTAATGTCACATTCAATGATATTGTAACACTAGTCAAACTACTGCATTTACAAAAACAACCATCACTAATTGATTTCACACTCGATGGTATGTTAACACTTCTCACACTGCTGCACTCACCGAAACATTGAATTCCTATTGATGTAACACTAGATGGTATTGTAATACTACTTAAATTTATACAATCAAAAAAACACCAAGCACCAATTGATGTCACACTTGATTGTATTGTAATACTAGTCAGACTACTACATTCACTGAAACATTTATAACCAATTGATGTCACACGTCGTGGTATGTTATTCCCAAATTTATTTTTATAATTTTGAGTGTAAGTGACATTTTTAAACTCGATGTTTCGACTTTTATTTCTGTTTACAATTTTAAAGTCAACGCTGGACCACACAATGATTCGAAAGAACTTTTTTTTCAAAACACCTTTATTTTCACAATCTCCATTTTCTACTGTGTTGGTTATTAATCCATTTTTAAAGTTCTTATCTTTTACATCCCACAAATGAAGTGTCTCAATGTTTGGGAAGTATCTAAGTGTTTTGTAATTTAACGGAATAGGGTTGAAATGGAACTTTTCCATATTACCATCAAACTTCTTGCATACCAACTCTAAATTAATAAAGTCGTTGATGGTCATTAAGTACTTCGAGACTATCATGATGTGATAGCTAGAAAGTCTTGACATTTTGATATTTACAGTTTTTCACTATTTAAATATTTCAGAATTATTATTTGTAAACAATTATAAAAATTGTTAATTTAGAGTCATTTACAGTTTCAAGCTTTAAGTTAATATCTGAAAAAATACCATTTTTTAATAATAAGTTAATAAATTAAATTAAAATACATTATTTGAAGTTTAA